GGAAGAGGAGCCACTGTGGCTTTGGCTCTGCTCTGCTGCTGCAATACAGACAGAAAACACGACTGTGCCTGGTGGAAGGAGGCGCTGGCTGCCCCATGGTGCACTGCCCGACTGTGTCTGCGGGTGCCCTGCTCAGCTTCCCTCTCCTCAGCTGCAGGAGCACCCCCCCTGCCCTGCCAGCCGCAGGTGAGTGTGGCCCCTGCCGAATGCCTCCTTCCCGCACCCTTACGGCTTGGGATGCGGCCCTCAGCCCTTCCGCAGGCAGCGGAGCAGACACTGCCTGGGCTGGTGGAGGGTGAGACGTACCTGCTTGGGCTGGTGCCGCTCCGGTCGCTGGTCCCTGGGCTGGGCCTGCTGCCTCTGCAGAGGTTTGTACAACACGCTCCTCAGGTACTTGTAGAGATTGCTTTTTAGGTGCAGGGGGTTGTAAGCAACTTCCACTTCCAAGCTGTTCAGGGCGCTCTGCTCAGCCAGGAGAAAGAACCAAGCGGCTGTGAGATGTGGCAGGTAGAGGCTGTGGGGTTTGCTTGGGGGCGTTTGGTGGTGGTTATTGTCATTTTTTGCAGGGATGAGTGCTACAGGCACTCCACACCGCTCTGCAGGGATGGGAGAAGGGATCTTTGGTTGCTGCCCACAGGGACCACTCTTGGCTGTGTACAGAACAAGAGGCATCTGCAGCCAGGTCTCAGTGGATTTAAGCGTTCCCTTGCAGGATGCAGCCCTATCGTCCCCCATGCCCAGAACCAGCCCACAAGCCCTGTCTGGACACCACCATCCTCAGCTCTCTGCTTCATGAGGCCTCTTATCCCCTTCTCCAACAGACATGCAATGTTGCTCTAAAGAAGAAAGCTGTAGGATGTATTGGCTGCTGGGAAGAAGTTTGGGAGTGCTCCATCATATTCCAGCTGTCACTGGACACTTTCACAGCTGTTCCCTCCTGTACTCATCTGCTAAGACCTACAGTGAGGGCTCTGCCCTTCCTGGCGTCACCTGAAGCAGAGGCAAACTTTGGAGAAGGACATATGGATGCACAGTAAGAAATGCAGGAGCCTCAATCTATTGGAACAAACAGAGGCGCTTTATGCCCTGATTAATCTTAGCCTAAAGCACCTCCCTGCAGTCTGAGGAGATCCATGCTCCCCAGCAATGAGGGACACTGGTCCATCTCCAGCAGCTGCACGTCCTGCGCATGAAGGCTGATCAGTGCCCGCACAGCGGGAGCGGGGAGCGGTGCAGGGCTGTCAGTCACTCACCTCCATGGGGCCACGCACGCTCTCGGGGTGCTCGGTGAGGAGGGCGGGGAAGGCTGAGGGCAGCAAGAGCTCCCTGATGGCCACTGCCTTGACGAGCAGCGTGGCGGAGTCGGAGGGGATGATGACGTAGTAGGAGTGCACAAGGACGCTCCAGTTTGGACTGGGGTTCTGTGGCTCGCGCTTGGCCAGAAGCATCCACTTCCTTTTCTAAATGGCAAAAGCCAAAACCGACGTGAACAACAGGCAAGAACCACTTCCTTCAGCCCTTTCACCGCAGGGGCTGCTGGGTTCAGGAGCAGAGACGTTTGTGCACATCAGGGTAGGAATGCTATTCTGCATTATGGTTGAGGATGGTGTGTTGGTTGGTTGTTTAACTGAATGCAAGACAACTCTTAAGAAAAACATCCAATTCTGATTTACGACTTGTCAGTAATGGGAAGTCCTCCACATCCCAAGCCTTGGTTAATTATTTTCACAAAGATGCACATCTAACCCCAGCCCTGACCTTTTCACTTGGTGCCTCCAAACCCTGGATTGCTGATGGGCTAGACAGGCTATCTGAGGTCTGGTGTGCTGTGGATGCGTTGGCTGGAAGGATTTATCAGCCCAACTCTGGCCCATGAGATGAAGCTGCAGCTTTAGAAATGTGTTTTCTGGTGCAGGCTATGCAGATCTTACTGGATGTGCACTAACTATGCCTTTGTCCGTCCCTCCCCCTGAGACTGCAGTTCTCACACACTCACCAGCAGGCTGTGGCACAGAGCGTGGAAGCTGTACTGGTTGATCTCCAGTTCATCCCAGTCCAGCTGCCAGCAGCTTGTGGCCTTGATGATGAGAGGCAGCCCGTACAGCACAGACTCGCAGACCCCCTCGGACTTCAGCGCCCTGCAAACATTCAGCTCGTGTCAGTGAGGCACAGCCAAGGTGAAACCAGCAAGATCTCCACCAGGAGAGGACGTCCCCAGGTGACAGCACCGGCTGCAGTGCTGCGGTGTGCACCGAGTGTCTGCATCGCTGCGGCCTTCGCTGCGAAACCCTGCAGAAACTCCTGCTGCAGTGAAAAGAGACTTTCCTGCTGGTTTCCAGGCTCCCTTGAATTCACACTGACAAGAGCATGCCAAGAAGGAAATCCAATCTTCACGCATTTTGTACACAAACCAGGTTGTCAATCCGGCCTCTTGGGCAGTAACGCACCCAGGCGACTGCATCTTTTCCCAAGTGATATTTACTGGGTCGTGGTTCTCCTTCATTTTAAAGGACTCGTGCTCTGCTCCTGCACACCCCACCACAACCACTGCTGCAGAGCAGGGCACAACACCGCCCGTCCATCGCACAGGCGTTGGTAAGTGGCCGCAGTGCTTTGGCTGGGGCCGTTTATGCACAATTACTGAGTGCTCTTCAGCTACTGACGGGATGAGAATCACTTTAAGAACAACTGTACAGGTCAGAAATCACACAATTTTTCCTAAAAATAAACCTCAGAAAAGACACTAGAGAGCATCGCTCTTCTTGTCATGCTCTGTGCTTGCCAGCCACGGGCTGCTGACAGGAAAGCGAGTAAATTCTTAGGTGCAGTCACGCAGCACTACCAGGCTTTGCTTGCTTTTTACTACTGGTCAACAGTTAGCTCAGGCTCTGACAAACAGTTAATTGCTGTGGCCTCATTAGGTAGCGAGAGAAGAGCAGAATTGTATATGGAGCAGTGGCTGCAATCCGCAGAACTCCACACTGCAGGGAAGCAACTGCTGCGTGAATCATATCTACGGTGTTGCACGGATGCAGTGCTAGTGTTGTGGTAACATCGCTTTTGACTGTGCTCCTGTCTGCAGGTGTGGGACGTGCTGTTCCTTAACACCAAGAGATGGGGTTGAGGTCATCTTACAGCCAAATTTTCCTCCCCAGCTCTCATCCCCCCAGCTCTACGGTGATGGTAATAGGTCCTGGTGGAAACTGCACAGCAGGAGTGCAGGCTGCTGTTACCTCAGCCTTCCAGGGACAGCAAAGCACGAAGCAACGCTTACTTGACAACCTGGAGTTTGTGCAGCACTGTGGTTGGCCAGGCCGCCATCTGGCCGGGTGCGTTCGGGTCTGCTGCTCTCACGGTGCCGTCGGCCGCCCCAGAGAGTAGAGCAGGGTCCAGCAACCTCTCCTGCAGGTCACACTTCAGGCACACTAGGAGAAGGAAACTGGTTTAGAGCGCTAGAAATGGCAGTGATATGAACATGATACGCTCAGGGCACTCACAAACACTAAGTCGATGTTTGAGAGCAACAGCAGCTATCGAGGGAGGAAAAGAAGTGTGCTGCTGCTGCAGCGGCAACGGGAAGCTGCACGTGAGCACCATAACAGTGTGGGATATCGTAGCATACTGGTGTGGAACGTTGTACCATGCTGGTGTGAGCAGGGATTGCTGGGCCTGCACGTGCAGATTCCCACACGCTGCAGTGGTGACGCCGCCGCGTCCCAGTTCAAGCTACCACCGCACACAGGTGACAACCACTTAAGGAAACACCGATGTCTGCTGTAGCTGCTGGTGTTTTCAGTGCTCGCCCAAGGATGGGTTAGGGATTTGGACTTGGACTAGTAAAGGAAAAGAATTACACATTCCTTATAAATCTTCCCATGCGTTATTGTCTCTGTTGGCAGCTCCAGCTAGAACAGGAGCTATTTTAGTGCTAAATCAATAGATATAAACACAAGCCAAGTCTCTTTGTAAGACGGCCTCTATTTAAGTGCAGCTCTGGCACAGGCTTTTAGCATCAAACACTAGGAACGTGATTTTTAGGGCTACACAACTGAGCCAGAAAGCCCTTGGCTCTCGGTATGTAAGGGCCTTTTATGGTGACCAAGGGGCTGTAACTTCACAAAGGCAGATTTTCGCTGCAGAAGGGAAATGAGTTACGGCACCACGGGACAGAGTCCCCTGCGAGCACAAACGGCCCCTCTCAGCCCGAGGAACAGATGCTGCAGGACCCTACACGGGTCTCTAAACATGCCCATAGGACAGGACCGGGAGATCTTTAGGGCCAAGGGATTTGGGAGCTCCCTGCAGAGGGGCACAGAAAACACAATACTTAGCGTGGCCCTGGGTGCGGCGGCGGGGCCGAGGCCTCCTGAGGGCAGGAGGAGGTGGAGGTGCTCTCTCTCGGTGCTGTGGTCGTGCAGCCACGATTTGAACACCATCTCCAAGCTGAGGACGTTGTCCTCCACGGTTTGCACATCGATGTCCGTGCCCAGGATTGCAATGTCTGCAGGGAGAAAAGGGGAAAAAGCAGAGATTTCAGCCATGGAAAAGAACGCTATTTTGCATTTCCCACTACAAGGTGCATCTGTGGTCCCTCACGCGGGGTACGGACATGGTGCACGTGGAGGCCCTTAACTGCCTAGCCCTCAAAAAGAGGACGATAGGGCCAATGAAGGAAGAGCTCCAACTCCAGCAGTCGAACGCTAAAGCCCTGGAGCAGGGCAGAAACATTTTTAGAGTTTACCGAAGCCATCACCAATAGCTGATTTTTTTTCAGGCTAATCGGAGGCACCACATTTTCAGATCTCTGATCTCTGTGGTAGAGCTGCATAAAACAGGAAGAATAAATTGGAAACTGTCACTTGGTTCCAATAAGCTGAGACAGAGAGGGCACAAAATGAGTTTCTCATGCTGAGGATTTAAAGAGATGATTTTCTGATGTGCTACAAATACAAATGCAGGATGCACTGCCACAGCAGTGCTTTGGCTATCAAAGATGTAAGTAGGTTCAAGCAGCCGCTGGGCAAACTGAGGGCAGAAATACCCAGGAGGGATGAGCCTCGAAATCAAGTGCTGCAGCACAACGAACACAGCACCAATGCTTGCACTTCCTGCGTGCTGTATCTGGCAGCTTCAATGTTCTCGACTGTAGTTTTGTCTAATACAATTATTTTACTTTATTTTATTTTTCAGAAACAGAAGAAATGAGCTCCAACAGGTAAAAAATCCTTCATAAATGTGTTGTGCTCCTTTTTCAAATTATTTGGACTATCCGTTCTCTGGTGCTCCTCTTAGAGAGCAAATACATCACCTGGGCCTTCTCGTGAGTAGGACTCAGAAAATCAGCATTGCATAATCTGAAATGCCAATGGTCCCTGTCCCCATGCACGTTTCCATTCCGTTTACAGGGTGAAAGGGCCGCCCACCTCCACTTTCCGAAGCAGCTGCTGGGGTTCTGCGCGGTCTCGAGCAGCCTCGTGACCCGGCGTCGCCTGCTCCGTGCCGTCGCTTCCCAAGGCTTCCCACAGGCTCTGAGCAGCACCAGATGCTGGCAGCGATCCGTATCGCTGGAGAATCAGCATCTGCATTCACCCGAAATACTGTCCTCTTCCCATGTGGACAAGGTCGGTGCTTTTAAAGAACACCTCAGCCTTGGAGCTGCAGGCAACGGTTCCTTCCACAATTTTGTAACTTGGGGTTTTGGTGCGGTTTTGCAATATTAATCTAATTTTAAAGTCATGTCAGAGTGACAGGACCTTGCTGCTCCCCTCCGGGACTCTGTTCCCCGTGTCAGCGGTCACGGTGCTGGTCAGAAGAGGTTCCCTTGCTGCAGCCCAGCAGCTTTGCCTGCAGAGGCAGCGCTCCCAGGCTGTTTTCAAGTCAAGAACAAGCAGCTGTGTCTCACTAAGGGAGACTTCCCCCTCAGAGCAGGAAGCTTTAATGGGCATCAAGGGGCAGATACACCCCAAGAGTACAAAACCCGGTGTTTGGTTTGCCTTGCCAAGGGATGCAGCAGGGGAGCAGTCACTGTCTGTGGATGCACCTCGTTGGGTTGTGCTGCAGGGGGAAACAGCATAAACTCCTTTTGTCAGCCCTGAGAACGCTGAAATAACCGAGCAGATGTGAAAGGTAAAAGGAAATACAGAAATGGCAGCTGCAGTTATAGCAGCACTGCGCTGTACAGGCATCTGTTTTTTTACCGCTGTGGGACTGATCACCCCTCGCTGGTTCATTTAGAGTCTGCTCAGCCCCTTCTGCTTTGAAACAAAAAGGTTCAAAACAGGAGCTCACAGGGATTTCTGTTTCTGAATTTCTCACTGCTGCAGTTTAAATTCTCACTGCTGAAAGCTGTCAGATTAAGGGAGGAGTTTATCAGAGAGAAGGCCAGGAAAAATATCAGGGCCTGGAGTGTACTCGCTCTTCCACTGAGGAAGCGAGTGGCTAGAAGTGCAAGGGATGGGGCACAAGGGAACCCGCGATCCCAGATGTTCCCAGCCCCATCTCTGCCAACTGACCCGAAATTTGCTACTGCAACCAGGAAAGATGAGCTAGAGACAGGTAAGGCACCGACACCCTACACTGCCCGTCACTCAGTGAAAACAATACTGCCATTGCCGATAACGAGGGTTTTAAGGCCGTTATCAGCTCGTAGTGAGAACGTGCGTGAATCAGCCAGGTGTGCCTTGTTGATGGGGAATTTGTCAGCAGTGAAGGTCTTTGAAACGGAGGCCTGGATTGGAAACCAGGGGCTGCAGGGCTATAAAGGACTCATTCATGTGCAAATACTGGTTACTGGAGGAGTACAGCCTTAGGAGCTGAAGAACAACTGCCCTAAGCAGAGGAAAGAGGCAGCAGTTAAGCAAGAACGGTGTCACTGACAACACCAAAAGCCCAGCTAATCGACAGCTTAAGTACCCGGCTGGGTCTGGCAAAGCTGTTCTCCCCAGCACTGCAATGTGGGGCCGGGGGGGAGGACTAAAGGGCAAGAACTGTTTAGAAACCAAATGTCTTGTAAGAGAAGGAGATGTTGAGTTGGTGAGGGGGAGGAGGGGGCTATTTCTGTAGGATCACTGTAACCGTAAATGGCCTGCCCGCTCCCCTTTTCCCCCAACTTCTGCCCGTTCCC